GGAACTTTTCGATTCCCTCTCCTTCACGGCTTCCAGAGGACCATTCCCGACGCTGTCGACCGCCTCGACCGTTGTGGTTCTCGAGGAAGTAGGCGATCTCGAGATCATAACCTTAGATTAATAAATATAGAATAAATTTTATTTATTTTTAATTCTCATATGTTTTAACTTAATTAATTTACACACATACACAACACTTCACTAAATTCATGTAATCTCACTACTGATTCCGATTGTAATAATAACGGGCAGGATGTTCATTTTCAAGTAGGTTTTCCCTTAAAGATCTTGCCCGATCACCCCCGTACCTATGTAACACCCTAACACCCGCGAGAAATACACACACATGTTACACCTACATTTAATACGTTTACCCTTCATCTGGATTTATTTATTATTTGTACGATTGCCTGATTTTCTTTACTCAATGTCATTAGTAAATTTTATGTTAATTTGTAATAAATGTTCTATTTATTTTTAAGATAAACTCAATGTTTCTTTCATTAAATTAAGATCTCACCCTCAGTACCATCCCCCTCTCGAAATCGCACAAGGTCCGATTTTGAGTTAAAGGGATCGAATTCCCTCGAAAGAGGCCCGACGATCGCATCACTCACGGAAGGCGTCTTACCGTCCCTACGGACGTTGACCCTTCCTGAGCCATCGAAAGTGCGTTTGGCTCGCGCCACGCGCCTCGGAGCGTGTACCTGCGAGCGAAATTCTTAAGCGTCTAGTTGCGTCCTTCCTTACCCCGACCCCTCTGGTTAGCCTTTTCTTTGCTTCCCAGATTTTTTTATCCTAATCCCGGGATTGGACGTAACAGTTCATAATTCGCCTTTTCGTCGTTTGTCACTACTTCTACAAACTCACGTTGCTCATTTAAGCGATTTCTTAAATTGCAGCTCATTTTGAATAAAAACTCCACCAAAATTACACTGAGAGACATTTTTGAAGCACTTGTCTGACTAACTAAGAGCGTGCAAGACGACTCCAGTACGATCGGACAAGTAAGGACTAACTCTCAGCTATAATATTACAGGTTATTTATAGTTGAAAATATTTTCAAAAACTTCTAGAATAATGGCGTGACAAAAATTGTTTATTTAAGGCATTGGTTAGCAAATTTGAAGCTTTCCCCACTTTCTTCCCACCCTGCCTTTCCGGTGAAAGAGAAAACTTTTCGGAGAAAGGTTATCTTATGCCATAAACTCTTTTCCGTCTTGTTCACAAAATCATATTCTTTTATCTAAGAGCTTACAAAGAATTCTTTGTTAAAAATTTCTAGTAATGTTTTATTCCAATATGTAATTAGAAGGATATATTATCGCATTTAAGAAATTTATTGATTTATTGCTTCTAATATAAAAAGAGATCAGTTAAATTTTACACAAAAACATATTTTTATCTAAGAACTTACAAAGAATCCTCCATTGAATTTTTCTACTAATGTTATATATTCCATTAACTAGAAGGATTTATTACTACAACCCGGAAAATTTATTAATTTATTGCTCCCAACACAAAAAGAGATCGGTTAAATTTTACACAAAAACATTTTTTATCTAAAAACTTACAAAAGATCCTCTATTGAATTTTTCTACTAATGTTACATGTATCAACATACAATTAGAAGGATTTATTATTACTACAACTCGGAAAATTTATTGATTTATTGCTCCCGGCATAAAAAAAGCTCGGATAGATTTTTGTTGTTTCTTTATTTTTTAGAAATATTTTTGTTTAAAATTTAAAAATTTTTTAACTATTACACTTTTTGTATAAAATTGTTAGTTGATCACTTTATTAACAAATTCTCTTAGCTCCCTATAAACTCCCTATATATCAGAATTCATAGTTTAAACTAAAAAAAATCTAGAAAAGTCTAGAAAAATCTAGAGTTTTCTAATTTTTTATTTGCGCGCGCAGACTAATTTTTTTAAAACGTTGTAAGCGAAGTTAACGTTTTGACTAACGTTACGAAGTCAAAATTATTCGAGTCCCATCGTTCGAAGCGACAAGTTGCCAGTGAAAAAGTATAACTCTCTTATCTGACTTTTTGATTAGTGTGTGTGTGAGTGTGTGTCAGCCAATATTACGAAGAAATAAGAACAATGGCTAGTCACAGAGAAGACGCTAATAATTCTGAGAAGCGGATGTTCACTCGCGATATTCCTGATAAAGGAATTCCCGATAAGGGACACGCGACTTCAAAGGAAAAAACGAGCAATTACATATGGTGCTATCGACAACATATGGACTCAACAGCTCCTATACGAAGAGAATTCATGTGGGTTTGCAACATCCGAGGGAGTTTTCGTGCCGCTGGTCAAATTAACCGGCAACTGTGCGGACGGCGTTTATTTCGACGAGAAATCGTGGCAGCAGTTTCAAGAGAACATGGGACTCGTGAGCAAATATTTAAATGGAGAAACCAAATTGAAGCCGAATTCTATCTCCATTAACAATATATCCGTCAATTTTACTTCGGCCTACGAAGCAAGATCCATATTGCTGGCGTACAAGGAAAACGAGGAGAATACTTCCACCAGGACAGATCAACGAACAGACGAGGAAAATTGTCCACCGACGAAGAAACGAAAAACATATGCAGTGGCAATTGTGATGCAGAAGCCTACATTTCTCGGACTGAAAAATATTGCGAAATGTATCGATGCGCATTTATCACATTTAAAATCAGTGGCCGATAATGTTAACAATTGCGCGCGTTATCTTATTAAAGAAATAGAGTTAAATCTTCCTAAAAATTATATAGATAAAGATATTGTGAAATTGACTTTCAGAGGAAATTACAACGACATCGAGCGTAATGTACGTATGCAAATAACCGATTTAACTTTCCTCGATATGTATTTTAATATATAGTATTTTTAGAACTTATTTTGCTGCATTTTACCAAAATCCGTCGTATAATTTTGTCGAACCGCAGATTGTAAATTTTATAACATTATTGTTTGAACAATTTATCTACAGCCTTATTACTTTATAAGCGACTAAATTGTATTTTTTTCCATGAAGAAGAATTTGTAGTAATAAACATTTTCTGTAACTTCTACTTTCTTCTATTTTTCTTCAATTCTTACGTTCTCCGCAACAAATTCTTTTTCTTTTATTTTTTCAGGATTGGTCAAAGTTTACCTCGTAAATTTTTCGAATGCGCTCAATAATAAAAACTTTTATTTAAAACGGAATAATTTCGTCACGTCACGTACGAAATGTACCTGTCCGTTCCTGTTTCTCCCTCTCCCCTCGAGGCAAAACGCTTCGTAAACTCTTTGTCCGGACCCAAGTTCTAAAAACAGGGTCATAAATCATGAAAACTATTCTCTAAAAACGACATATACGCGTCACGTCACAAAGCGAACCTGACGTTCCTGGATCCCCCTCCCCCTCGAGGCAAAAGGCTTTTAAAAATTCCACTTTCCGTTTTCGGCATCTTAGCATCATATCCTTTTTGAGCTTAGCGTCGTCTACCACGTACTCCCACCAAAATGGCGCTGGTCGGCTTTTCTGCTATTTTTCTGCGTGACTTCAGCGTCGTCCATCACGTGCAGGCCCAAAAAGAAGCTGGACTCTTTAGGCGGAAGAGCCAATCAGACGCTGGGTAGGTATGGGGTATCCAATCAAAACGCGCCATTTTATCCCACCATTTTTGTCTACCACGTGCTACCCCCTCAAAGCCACCAGACGTCTCAGGGGGGAGGGCCAATCAGACGCTGGATAGATATGGGGTATCCAATCAAAATGCTCCATTTTACCCCCACCCCTCACGCGGCAGCCAATCAGAGCGCTCCAAGGTCACGTGGGCAGACCGTCTGGCCACGCCTCTGACGCCGGAGGGGTCGGTGGAAGGGGTTTGTTTTGACGCCCCATACTTACCCACTTACTACTCGTGTCTAATTTATTGTAAGTTGCGTCAACGTCTTTGTCACTATTGTCTCCTTCTTCGTCTTTGTTTTCTTCTCCGGAGTCGTCATCGTCGATACGTTGGTCATCCTGATCATTTTCTTCTAGATTATTTTCGTTGTTTTTGGTCATTGGTATTGAATCTTCGCAATTATCTTCATGTAGAGTTTTGTTTTGATTAATTTTCTCGCTTTCATGGTCTTCTGCTAAATTATTTATTATCTGTAAAAGATTAGGTTTCCTAACAATAATGGTTCTGTTTCAGGTAATATATTTTTATCTCCGATTAATTTGATCCTCCGATTAAACTCACTCTGCATCTCTTTCTAACTGTCCTCCTTAGAAAGAGACGAAGAGTGAGTTTAATAGAAGGATCAAGTTAATCGGAGACTGTGAAATCGGCCCACAGATGGAAAATAAACCTCCACGCCACAGCATAACTGCAGCTTCTTCGACAGCCTAAAGGAGTCCTCGGGATTGTCCTTGTTTCTGCGGATGATGCACTTTTTCGTTTTTGGTTGTTGTGATCCACGATAAGGCAGACGCGATAGAAGCTGGTGCACTTTGTGTCACGAGCAAGCGATGTTTCAAAGTAATATAATTATAAGCAGTCACGAGACAGAACGAGAATCGTCGGACGTCACCAGGAGACGACGAACGGATCGAACGGTGAGTCGCTTTTCTTTCTTATGCATATCTTATGCATATATAGCTACTGTTTGTTATGATGTAAACATTTATTTGCATAATTTTAGATGACTATAATATAATACGGCAAGACTGAAGACAAAAAAGGCTGAAGACACATCGGATTTAAATTCAGAGGTGGACACAAAAAGAAAGCGGGTAAAAAATCGGCTGTACGAAAATGAAATCGATGATAGTGAGAAGTATAATATCGCGAAGTATAATACCCCAACAAAACGAAAACAAATGTTTCTTCCAGTATAAAGAAACATTATTTTCTAAAGTTAATATTAAAGTCCTTGTGTTAATATGAAAGTCTATTTTATAATATTGTAATGTATTTGCTAAAAAAATATACTAATTTATATTTTCAATTTTTTCAGAGGACGAGGTGAGGAAAAAAATATTAAATCATGTATAGCAGACGCGTTACAATTTTCAAGTAAAGAGTCTGACAGCGTCCTCTCAAAACATCCGCAAATGACAGGTACATTAATTAAAATAAGCAATCTATATTCAAAATTTCCATTTATTTAACTAAGATATCAAGAGACACGGTAGTGTCTCGCACCAAGTACACGCAAAGTAAAACCGCACCGTGACTCTTTTACGCGACACGACGAGTTGCAAGCACTCGATATTATTAGATGTAATGTACATCCATCTCTCTTTTTATGTGATTTTCTCCGCGTTTTTCTTATACTTACATATAATATATAATATACGTATATATAATATATAATATATAATAATAATGGTATGTATTTTTTTTACAGTTAACCATTATCATTGTTAAATAGGTAGATGTAGTATAATATTTAAATATATTCTTTCTCTGTAGATAATGCGAAATATTTCAAGGAAATTCTTCGCCAGCAAAGTTTCTTTAAAACTCAGTTGTGACAGATGGCAGATGATTTGAGAGAAATAAAAACTATGATAACCGGTAATCTGAGATAAAATTTGGATAATAATAATAAGCAGCAAGGTACAATTTATTCTTCCTTTGATCTTTCACTGAAAACGGTGGAAGATATCGAAGGGGCTGTAAAGCAATTCTTACAAGATGAAAATAATTTTGAACGCTCGGTAATACATATGCTCTGTGCAAAATCGAAAATCGAAATGATACGATTATATGATTTAGGAGATCCATCAACGTGGCTGTTCGGTTAATATTATCATCGCTTATTATTTACTTTATTTAGTGACATATATATAAATATTTATATAATTTACAGGTGATGGAGGTTACTGTTTAGAACTTTGGCTGATAACACTTATCACAAATGCACCAGAGAAAAGCGCAGAAGCACGATACACACAATGTCATTGTTCTGTTAGAAATTGTGTTGAAAGAATGTTTGGTGTTTTAAAGAATGTATGGGAGATGTCTTCTCAGTCATCGTGTCTTACACTACGATCCTATAATCGCAGCAAACATAATCGTAGCTTGTGCTGTATTATACAATATACGTTTTCATTATAATCTTATGAATCATGAAATTGACATTGATGAAGAGGGTGAGGCTGCAGCTCAGCAAAGAGCAATACTTCCAGATGTTTTTCAAGTATGTAATCGTATTGGAGCTCAAGCTAAAGAAATAAATAGAGCTAATGAAGGAAATATAAATTGTAATGACAGGTTAACAGAAGCAAGAAAGAGTTCAAAGAAGAATTCTTCGCACTCAGTTTGGTTTACGTCAATAAGAATAAACAATAAGTTATCAAAATTATTTTTATTATTAATAGAATTTCTGTATGTCATGCAAAATATAAGTATAAACGTAAAATCAGCGGTAAATAAGATAAGACAAATATAGAACGAATAAAAAGTTACTCACTTTTAACATAAATTTTCTTTTAGTAAGACAAACATAGAATGGATAAAATGTTACTCTCTTTTCAAGATACATTTTTTATAGTAAGACAAACACAGAATGGATAAAAAGTTACTCTCTTTTCAACACAAACTTTTTTTTAGTAAGACAAACAAGAACAGATAAAAAGTTACTCTTTTTTTTTAACCTAATGTTTTTTTTAGTAAGATTTTAAATAATTTCTATCAAAATATCTAATGTACGATTATTTAAATTTATAGATTTTCTTAAAAGTTCGTTATGTGTGTGTGTGCTTCCATTGCAGACTCAATACGTTGCAAACCTTCACTTATTGCCTGTAAAAAATAAGAAAATTATATTACAATTATATTACTGACATTTATTGTATAAATAGCAAAATCCAATAATTACTTTTAATGTACAGATATTGTTTTCAAATTTTTCATCAAAATTTTTATATTTGACAATTTCGAATAGGACAATAAGTGAGCGTAAAATATGTAACACCTGCAAATATATATATAAATATATATTGTATATATATATATTGTGTATATATATTTTATATATATATATCTTCAAATATTTACTATGATCCTCTTTTACATTTTGAAAATAATTTGTAGCTTCTTTCACGGAAGAGTATCTCATACGTTTTTCTACAATAAACATCTTAATTAAAAAAAGTATTTTATATATTACAAATTAGGAAATAATATTGCAGATATACTAAAACTATATATAAGATATATAATAAATTTGTACTTACTACCAAGCCCTATTGGAGTTGATATATTTGACGTATTTGTTTTTAATGATTCTAACTTTGTTCTTAACGACGTTGTAATGTTTGTAGATGCACTATTATTAGAGGAATTATCAATAAATTGTGAAGATGTTGCAATAGCATTGGAAGTACAGGATGGACTCTTAATTTGATAAGTATTCTGTTGCTGCGGTAAATTAAGCAAACTGTATTTTCAATAATTCATATCTTCATTATATAGTTATTAAATCATCAGTTAGTAACGCATTTTTCAGCTTGCGTGAATTAATAAATAGATATGTAGAGGCTCAGTATATAAAAATTCAAATTACTTTAGGCAACATAAGAACCAAGCGTGATATTCAGTCGCTAAAATTTATTTTACAAAGTTAATTACTATGTCAAAAATACATCAACGTACGTTTCGACTCTTTTTGGGGTCATCTTCAACGCATTGTCTAAACATTAAAATACATATACTTATATCTAAACAAAACTGGAAGATAAACGGAACCATAGAATATAAATCGCGGGGTCACTGTTGCAGGATAACACCCTATCACCCGAAATGTCGAGGTATTCAACCAGCTAGACGATGAAGCGCTTGGTATACCCTTACCTGTTATGCGCACTATAGGGTAACTCCAGTATATACGCCGCAACTAAGAGAAACTTAATTTATCGAGTACTATTTACTATGTTTAAGGCAAATGAATTATACCAATAACTCTATACTGTCTGCTACTATTAAAAATATGAAGAAAAGTATATTTAAAACAACCCAATGTAAAAAATTGTGCAAATTAGAAATTTGCACTTGGCTTCCTCATAGAGGAAATGATGTCTTAAGATGCTAATACGGCCCTCTGATTGGCTGATGACGCCTTAAGACTATATCTATAAGACGATCTTGGATATAAGGCTCGACTATGAATACCGGCCTTAAAGAATTATATATGAAATAGAAATAGAAAAGACTGAAGAATATAATAAAATTAAAAAATTTTGGTAAACTTTTTTTTAACAGAAATCGGTAACCCCTTTATTATTAACAATTTTTATTAATTCTATTATATTCTTCAGTCTTTTCTACCCCTATTTCATATATAATTCGTTAAGATTTGGTTGATCAGTTCTGGAGTTATAGAAATTTCTGTAAATTTGGCACAGACATACATACATACATACATACATACATACATACATACATACACACATACCGACATTTTTTTTAATGCAATATTTCGACGTTTTAGAACACTCTGAACATATTGACATTAAAAACTCAAAAAACAATCTTTTTTTTGGTTTCTTCTACCCCTATTTTATATATAATTTTTTAAAATTTAGTTGATTAGAGCCAACTTTATACGCAATCAAAGATTCATATACGAATTTACGAAAACAAAGCTTCCTCTATGAGGAAGCAAAATGATAGTAAAACTTGCGGCGCAAGTGTTTAGTGCCTCCGAGGGATACGTTCAGAAAGTCACCCAACTTACCAAACTCAACCTCTGTTTAAAAAGGATGAGCCTCGGGTGGCACAGCGGAAGCCTTGCGATTGGACAGTCGAAGAGACGTAGTATAAGATGGGGAAATGTAGACGGCAAATTGACGAAAAAACCCGACATTACACGGAAAGTGACGAAACTCTTAAAATGTTCAATTTTTTCGGTAATGGAGGTCACACAGCTCCTCGATGATTTTCGATGGATGAGTTGGGTGACCCCTTCTCTTCCACCAAACTAAAACCCGCGGAAAGCGTCAAAGTGTACTGCCCCGTAAGTTGAAATACAGTATCATTAATTGTTTATATAATTACTGCTTTATCGTAAAACGCGCGAAAGTCTTTGTCATTATACTGTACCCGATTTTTTTTCTTATGATTCACAGTGCTATTAACACATGTACTTTTTGATATTTTCATAAATTTTTTATAAAATATTTCAGTTTTTTTTGGTTAATGTTCTATTCTGGCATGTGCAGTATATTTTTTCAGTTACCATAAGAAACCAACGTGGTAGAAATATGGATATAGAAGGCAGAGAATTAGTTATTGCATCTTTTGTAGTGGCTTTGGCATATCAGATGAGAAAATTTACGAAGTATTTTGTGAAAATAACGATGACGACGACGAAAGCGATGATGAGGTTGAGGTAATGCTTGCAACGCTGATGCACGAAGAAAAAGAAGTGGGTCCGAAGCACGATGCCAAAATTTTGTTGAACTCGTTGTGCCAAGATTTATTTTTAAACAGTTCCAAGAGAATTTTTGTATGTCTGCGACAACATTCGAGATATTGTTAACTGTTATTGCTCCTCTCTTGGAAAATCGCACAGGGACTGGTAGACCGACAACAAGAATCGAAAAGCAGCTACTAGCAGTTGTATGACGTATGCGCCATATTAAATGCTTGAAATATGAAATAGATGTACGATATCTTTATTAACATCCTTTCCACAGTTGGAGTAAAAGAGGGAGGGAGAGAGAGAGGGAGGAAGAGAGAACAAAGGATATATAACGAGGGGTGCGTCAAGCCGCAGTAGCATATGATTTAAGTTGTCCTTAAGTGCGACGTATATACCGGAGCAAAATACGTGAAACTCATGCATTTTTATTTGTATTGCACTGTGGACGAGACAGAGGATGATCCAATTATATAGTTCGAAAGTGATTCCGATGATGATGACTCGCAGCAAAACACATCAACTCTATCGTTGTCGTCATCCATGTCGGATGGTGGTGTTCATCGTCAAGAACTTCTATCGCCAAATAAATTCCATGATAATAAGGTCGCGTTGAAGGAGGACGCTCGTTGAAATTTTGCGACGTACCAGCATCTGCAAAGGGGTATCGGAAAGTCACATGTGCGGGAAGAACAGTGGATACGGACAATAATGGCATGCAGTAGCAGAGCGAAATGGTATTTGGATAGATTTCCATTGAAAATTCCAAGAAGATATCATAAGATGAACGCTGAAGATGTAGATGCGTTTTGCGATAAACTCACGAAGCGCGGCGGCGGAGAAAGCTGGAATTTACAATACCTATGTACAGTTACGGTTGTTATGTCATGTGGGAAAAGTCTTATGCCAAGAGTCTGCGAGAGACGAATAGTAGCTTCTGCGGGGAAAACTATATGTGCAGGAAGAACTGTGGAGTAGCGCGCAGGAGGGCGACTGCGAGATTTACGTGAAATGGCTGGGATTCGATGGATCGCACAAGGGCAATGTTATTTAATTCGTGCAAACTGTATTTTATTTTTAACATAAAGTATGTAATATGTAATACATATAAAATGTTTGAAATACACATAAAGTATGTAAAAAATATGAAATACAAACATGTACAATATCTTTATTAATATCCCTTCCAACAATATAATATACGTTACATTACCTTACCTTACCTTATATTACATTACGTTACGTTACCATACATACGTACATACATATATACATACCTACATACATACATACATACATTACATTACGTTATACTATTACATTTTATACATACAATACATACGTTACAAAGGTATTCGGTAATGTCCCCACGGCAACGTATCGGTCGAATCGGGTATAATGTATCGCTTATCGTCGTACAAACTCAGAGCGATTTTTGTCTTGCGGATGGTGTGCACTTTATGCACTTTATGCAATTTCGATCTTATACAGAACTGCTGTCGCGTCATTTCAATCTCATCGTTCAGACACCGCGTGTAATCGTCGAACGTTATAGTACGCGCTACGACGTTGCTTTTGACACCTTTTTCGTATCTTTCTTACCGTCGACTCACAAGGCGTACATACATTTTCGCCCTAAGTCCAACAAATTTGGTCATTATCGCACCGTTATTTTTGTCCTTCTCGGCACCTTCTTGTTAAGGGGATGCTGGAGTCGCGGGCGAACTCGATCAGCGTCGATAAAGAAGTGCTCACCGATTTTTACATATACATACAGAGCGCAGGCAAACTCGACCAGCGTCGATAAAGAAGTGCTCACCGATTCTTACACATACATACAGAGCGCAGAGTTTTTGGCTGAATTCGGGGAGACGCGTAACATGTGCATATGAAATTTTCTAACATACTTTTCTCTTATACTAAAGCTCGCAGCTCATTTCTGCAAGCACA